AAATGCACTTATGTCGCTAATCGTGCTCAAATCAATTATTGACACAATATTTTAAGCTGCACTTCTGTGGACTTCGTGCACTTCCATTGCACTTCACTTCTTCAGCTTTTAATAGTTTGATTGCTATACATTGAAAAAGTGAACCGGAAAACCTAATGCGGCCATTTTAATGTCATTGTATGGTGTCTTCTGATGGCGACAACGTTTTAGATTAAAGGGTGTTACTTGCTCATATCTTTTGTTTGCACTTAAGTTTGTTGAACGCCTGTGCTGCTAGTGACAAAACACAGCAAATAATGATGCCGCATTAGTCGTAGAACGAGTCGCTGGCGTTCTATTTGTCTATTGTTTCAATGCAATTGTGTTCATATAAAAGTCAGAATGTCAAACAAATGGTTTTTTGTGTCGGGAACTGGCACACTTATGCTTAGAAAATATTAGAAAAAAATACACCAATATGAGGTTACTACATGTTTAGTACGTTTTGGCTTTACATAGTATATATGTTTGCTTTTTTTGCTTTACTTTACTACAATATACATATACTAAAATTGTTTACATTTACTCATTCTGAATCATATTCTGACCCAAGGGTCAACTCGGTAGCTGCAGCTCAACTCTTCTGTCAATTGCAACGAAAATAGCCTTCAGTGCAGAAATGTCGCCCCAAATTGGTGTCACATGTCATGCCAATGTGTGCGTTACAATAGCAGAATGGCAGTTGACATTTCTAGTTGAACATACGCTCAGAGTTACCTTTGAATACATTCATCTTTCCAGCTTATTTTTTATGTATTCATGTAGCTGACAATCTGTCTCAACTATGTATCTGAAACTACTGTCGAGCTTGTGCTAAAGTATAAAAAAGTTATTCATATGTGACACGCTCTGAATTGGTTTATTCAAACATGCGCGACTATTCTGAACGTGTGTATGGAATTTAGGGTAATAAAAAAGAATATTAAAAGATTTGAATTTAAAATTAAAAAATGTAACATTCACAACACATTTGACTTGGAAGCGCATAATCTAACCCTATGAGTCCCTTTGACTGAATGCAATTTCAACAATATTTCACCAACTGAACTCAGGTGAATTAAATTAAATTAAATTAAGTTGACATGGAAAGAGTTGATTCATTTCATAGGGTATCATTCTAGGTGTGAGTATATAGATTTCATTTAAAAGTGTACAAATATAATAATTTTTAACGACTTTTTATTCTTATGTTGAGGTTAGTCGAGTGAGTGCACTTGAGCACTTTTACTCTCTATTAAATGCGAGGTTTCATGAAAACCCTCTCTACGCCTTTACTGGATCATTGTTTATTACTTCATCAGATTAAGCAATAATTGACCTCAGATCTGCACACCTCCCCAAGGAGCCTGTAACCATTCTGAGATTCAGTTTTTGTAAATAATTTGAAGGCTCTATCCTTTATGTATTTTTTAATAGGATCAATCTTGTGGTCCCTAAGGATGTCATTTGTCCTAATGTACATGGTTCATGGATCATTGTATAACTTCATAAGATTTAGCAATAATTGACCTCAGATCTGCATACCTCCCCAAGGAGACTGTAACCATTCTGAGATTCAGTCTTCGTAAATAATTTCAGGGCTCTATCCTTTATGTATTTTTTAATAGGATCAATCTTGAGGTCCCTAAGGATGTTATTTGTCCTAATGTACCATGGTACCTTGAAAAATTTTCTCAGAGCCTGGCTTTGTGAAATTTCTAGCTGGTGAAACACTTTTTATTTATATTAATAAATAAACTTCGTATTCAGAATGATTTAAAACTCACTTTTTTATAAAACTATTAATTTTGTAATTCCGAAAATAAATGTAAATATCTGAATTGAACTGAATAACGTGACTAAAATTTTAATCAAATTTTTTTCAATATATTGTTACTATTAGCTGTAAAGTACACTTACTTACTTAGTTAGTCTTTACTGACATGAGTCGTCATTGACCGCGTTGAGTTGCCTCCACCAGCCACCCCGATCAGTGGCTTGCTGTCGCCAGTTGGTAGTACCAATCGCCACCAAACATTATGTCTACCATAGTAAAAATAGACTAGGGCATAAAATGGTCCTAAATATTTTAGTAGTTTTGAGCCCCGAAACCCTTTCAGGCACACACTTAATTCTTATCTTAATTCCGTTTTACTTAAGTGAAAAACGTCAATATTAATTTAATTTGCTGAAGTCACGAATTTCGTAAAACTTTTTCCATAATATTTTATGCATTTGTGAAATTTTCTAACGCTCTATAACTTACTCCCAAATATTAAGTTGGTAATTAATGAGAATGCTGACGAGAATATAGATTAAATGACCTAGGCATAAAACTTTTTTGGGCTTCAGTACTTACTTATTTAGTTGGTTATTACAGAAGTGAGTCATCCTTGGCTGCATCGAGTAGCCATCACCAACTAGCGCGATTAGTTTCTTGCTGTTGCCAGGTTATAGTGCCGATCACCCCAAAAATGTTTGTCACCTCAACCATTTACCGAAGATGCTGATGTCTTCTAGCGCGTTTTCCATCTGTGAGTACTGAATCAAAGATGTTTCCAAGCTTCTGTACAATACAGCAGGCTAGGTATTATAAAAAACTTGTAGAGCTTGATTTTTTTTCTTAATTTGATTTTTCAATTGCCTACTTAGCTGTGAAATGAAACTAAATTTAAGTATCCTCTACGGAATATCTTGCAGAACTCGATTCTTTCGAGATTACTTTCGATTTTGTTTAGCAAGAATACGACATTCACTTGGCCGACACGACAATCAACGTGGCCTCATAAATTTCTTGCTCAACAAATACGACACAGGACATGTTGTATGACTTGAGGTGCAGACCTGTTGAACACTCCATGTCTTTCAAATATAAATCTTTAATTTTAGATAAAATCGATAATCATATATTTGTTATAATCAGAATAGACGGTTTGTATCACAACTTCGATATACTCAAGAACAAAAAAAAAGTCCATCACGCCCTCAAATGCTATAGCGTGTAGTGAGTTTTTTTTTAGATATAATCTATAGTTCTATATAGTTACTATCAGAAGATCAGTAGCTTATATTTTTTACCGTGATACCAAGTGACTAGTGAGTATCATAACTGATGAAATTTGATGTGAAAAATTAACATCAAGTCTTCAACATTTTTACACGTTCTGCGGTTGTTAAACGATTTATATTATAAAATGTGTGAATTTGTTAATGAACTTTCACAGCAATTTGGCAAGTTCGAACATACAAGTCAAGTACGGTTTTGGGTCAGTTGGCTAATGAATACTGACTCTGAGCTTCAAATTTGGCAGGGTATAAGTTCAATTCTTGGTGCTTGCAGTTTAAAAAAAAAATTAATTGCAAATAATTCGAAGACCACTTATGATGTGTATTTGGCTACACTGCAAACAGATGTATGGTCAGCAAAAAATTCTATTAATTTAAAATAATAAAATAATAAAATTTTGTTGTTCAAGTTCACTACTGCTCGCAAAACTCCTCTATTATATGTATTACTTTAAAATAAGAAAATAGTTTCTTTCATCATAACTGATATTCGAAGGCAATTAAATATACAATATTAATATAGTTTTTATTTTTTCATTTTCAGGTAAACATAAATCAACTAGCATTAATAAATGGTTTTAAAAAGTAAGTTCATTAAACATCTAAACACCACCAACTAATTAAGTTTAAAAATAATTATTGTTTGTTCTGCTAATGAGTAGGTAGCCCCTTTATATAGCATCAGTAATTAAAAAGCAGACTGCAGTCATTAACCAAACAACATCTTATTGCAAGGCATTGCACAATTGGTCCATGACTCACTAGTTGAATCTGTTTCAAGTTTTTGCTTTCTGCTTAAGATATTTTAAATATTAAAATAGTGAAACTAAGAGCAGCAGAATATTGCAGAAACATTAGCACATCTGTACCGACTGCAGAAATATACGAAACAGGCACTTACCAAAGAAAACTTTGGAGAAAAGCAAGCGTCCCTTTAGAGTAACATGGGCAGATGTGACTGGGTACTTGGCGTACTTGATGTACTTGTGGTGCTTGTTTATCCAAATCGTAAAAGCAAGAATATATTAAAAAGTATAAAATTCGT